TTTATCTGCCCCTTTTTGAGAGAAATAATATTGAGAATCATGGAAACAAGACTGACTTGCTGAAATGGAGGAAGATCAGCTAGAGAAAAGTTACTAAAGACTGAGGGAGAGATAAAAATAAAGGAGAGGGAAATAGAAAAAAATGATGACAACAAAGAGAGAGACAGTGACATGAGTGTGTATCAGTAAGAGAAGGAATGTACAGTATATACTGGAGAAGGAGAGAGAGAGAGATTGATGAGAGATCAAGAGATGCTCATGTGTTAGATTTATGATAATATAATGTGTCACTGGTCCACCTTTTATCATGTAAAGTAGTGTATTCTGATTGGTTGCTTATTGGTGAAGATGAACTGACTTGGTATAACAATTGTTGTATCAAGAGATTATTAACAAGTTCACATGAAGATTGATTAGTACCACCTCCAGTCTACTCTGTCTTGTATGAGGTGATAGTTAGGATAAGTATTAATACAAGTCTTTTTGTGTCGCTTGTCTAGCCTGAGTCTCCTTATCTTCTTATTATCCATTAGTGACTGGAGGATGAGTAGTATTGACTCAGTAGACAATGAAGTATACCTTAGATCCAGTTTAACTAGTGATGAATTATTGAGGAGGAGGTAAGAAAGAGCCTGTCCACTAGTAGAAGTGATGAGAGGATTATAAGAAAGATCTAATGAGGTAAGTGTAGAGTTGTGTTTAAGTGCTTGACAGATATTAGTAACTCCTTGGTCACTAATGGAGTGGTCACTGATGTCTAGTTCTTGTATTGTTTTATTATTAGTTAGTAGAATACACAAGTACTGGATACAATCATTAGTTAATGGAGTGTACCATATCACAAGTCTCCTCTGGTTTAATGTATGCAGTTTAGTTGATGATAGTAGAGATACTGTGCTATTAGTAGATGAGTAGTTGAGGTGAATCCTCTCATGATTATTTTTAATATTACTAATCACTGCATTACACTGAACTGGAGATGGAGACTCAAGGGTTACACTGTCACTGTACCAGTTCACTCTCCCAGTGACTCCTAATATAAACCAAAGGATTATACTTATACACATGTATGTACATAATAATACACATATTCACATCATGTGTATATACAAACACACGCAACTTGCATAAACAAATACAGACACAGCTAGTAGTTGTCACTGACTGACTGTATTATGTGAATGTGTGTGTTTGTTATAATGCATTAAGTAGGTACAGAGTAAAATTTGAAATAAAATTAGTGAATTAATTTTATACACAATCCTTAAGTATGCATGTATACACATGACATTATTATGTTCATTAATAATTATACTGACTGTCACAATAATCACAAATATTACCTTTATCATGTTGTTCCTTGTCTTGTCTCAGTGCAGATATCATAATAGGATCATCATTAATAGTCTCCAAGAAAAGAGAAGCTTTCTCATCATTACTAGATGAATCATTCCTTATCTTCTGTAGAATAGGAAGGGACACTTCTTCCACTGACAGTATAAACTCTAACAATTGAAGTGACTCCAACATTGAGTAAACAAAACTACTAGGAATGACTCCCTCGTCACCAGACACCAAGGATCTTCCTTTCCACCAATAACTACTCTCCTTCTCATATATCTCCAGCTGCTCTCCCTCACTGAATGATATTTGACTATTTGTTGTTGCATGATAGTCATAATGAGCAATAAAAACATTTTCTGCTGTTGGTTTATTCCCTATATACCAGTGATACAATATATCAATCAGTTAATGAAATAATGATACATACTTCTTATTATATTCCTATACTTTTCATTCTCTTCTCTTTTATTTAGTATATGTACAGTATAGTGCAAAAAAAAGGCTAAGTAGCGCACCGAACTTGCTCGGTGCTACCGCAGAACGTCGGAGGTAGCGAGGCTATGCATGAACCAGCAGCTTGGAAACTACGGTGCCGCTTCGCTCCCCTCCGCATACGCCCGTCCAGCGAAAGTACACTCGTGATACTGTACCGTCATTCGTGGCAGCTACGCAAGTATACCCCGGTACTGTACTCTACTGTTTTGTCGTGTCACTGTTGACTATATCTGTGCTACAAATTACCTGCAGTCTTATTAAAATGGTCTACTCTACTTATAAAC